CTTGCAACTATTAATTCGTGATTCTTTTATCAATCTTGTGTTTTTAATTATTTTCATTCATAAATTCAATAGTCTAGAAGGAGGTACTATTAATAAAACTCACAGGTACGATTTAGGCGACCGGTTTGCTGAATCGTGCTCTTGACAGCATGTTGCTAAAAAGCTTAGAACAAATTAATTTGCTATTAGTGAAAGATTTAACATGTAATATTAGATGCCTCGAACACCAAGCTACAATTTCCAACGTTGGTTTGCATTCTAAATAGTACCAAATGTGAAATATAACCAAAATTATCTTAACGGTACGCTTAAAGCCGGTTCTACATTAGTTGCAAGCCGATCGCAAGTTTGTTGCGACAGCCAATCCAAAGCATTGATTTCAATATATTGACATTAATAAATATATATCAATTTTATCTGTATGATACGGATTTGATAGTATTCTAGTATAACTTGATTAGTTGTTTTTCTTTGAAAATATTTAAAAAAATGGCAAAAGTGAGAAATTTCTTATCAATATATCTACGTACGATGTAGATATTGATAAAATTATATCGATCTTATCTGTATGATATCATTAGTGATCTCTCGCGCTTTTAATTGTATCACTTTAATTACTCGTTAACTGCCGATGTAAAACGACGCAATTTCTTCAGGTTAGTCCTCATATGCGCATATTTTGTCTTTAATCATATGTCATGAGCATGCATTTTAATAATTATTTGTTGGATTAATATATATGCAATCATCTTATTTTGTTAAAGATGCTTAATCGAGATAAATAATTGCATTAAATTAAATATAAGAATTATAATAATTTACTAATAATTGAGAGTATTTGTAAAGATATTGTTTAACTATAGTGTTAAAATCATAATAAGGTTTTCTTTTATTGTCAAGGTTTAGAAATCATTCTTTATTTTCATTGTCAGTTAGTGAATTATACAGGGCGATTCATTTTAATCGCCCCAGGCGAATAACTCGAAAATAACTCGAAAACTATGACAGATACAAAAAAATGTTTCAAACAAAGGTTGTTTGACTTCAAGGGGGACATAAAGTGGTAGCATTGGTTTGACCTTGGGTGGCGTGGTCAAAATCAGGAAAAGGTCAAATTTTTTAAATGGGATCTCTCATTTTTCATTGTATATTCTTGTAGTATGTCAAGAGCTTTTTAAAACACATAGATAAAATATTTTTTGAGTAAGTAAATCTTCAATTATGAAGTTTCAAAGTTGCAGTACCGTCGACATTAGCCAAAATGTTCGAACACTGGCTAAAACCTTTTAAATGAACCTTTTGAATTTTGTTCAGGATCATGACCTTGATAAAACGAAAGTGTTATCCATCCAATAAAGGATATGCTATAGAGTCTCCTTCAGTGTAAATCATCAAATAGCAAAAAAATATACTTGTCGGGAACTGCTATCGCGTCTCAAGATAATACAACTTAGATTTTATTTGTTTAATTTGATACAACAGTTTTTTTCGAGATATATTATTTCCAAATACATAATACTTTTTAAAAAAAGAAAAA